GCCCGCCGAACCCCCCAGCCGGTCCAGTGTCTGTCTGAACACTAGCTTGGCCAGCAGTGGCAGGATACGCTCCTGGCTGCCCTCTGCTGCAGCTCGATGGGCTTTCATGATCCGATCCTTGGCTCTTTGCGTCAAAGTTTCAAGCTTCTTATCGGTACAGTCTGTGCCACCATCCAGCACAACGTACGGTGTGATCCTACAGTCCCTGAGGGCAGTGACGAACTTCTCAATCACGTCCTCGAAGGCAGCGTACTCTCCGCCGTGGTTCTCATCCAGACCTGACCGGCAGCCAAAGGAAACACAATGAACACTCTGAATGCTGCATTATTAGCAGACACGCATGCTTGAATGCTGGAATTCAGCATAAATGATCTGAACCTGACTGCTGCTTTATGACTGGACTCACATGGTATTCATGGATTATCCACAACAACCACCATATCTGGGCATAAGGGAGTTCATGGTGGTAGGAAGCCAACCACCCAATCCAGCTCAGGTGTGTTGTTCCAGGTTTGGGGGATATTGTGGGACAGAACTGCTCAACTTCCTACTTCCTTCAATGATCTTCATCTCCCGCCTGCGGAGAGATGAATCACAGTGGGCCATGTTTAAAGCCTCCACTGTGGAAATATCTTCTGAGTTTTGGCAAATTTTGCAAATGTCTGCAACTTAAGGTGTGCTAAGGCATGCAAACAGTCCTGACACATTTGGTGAGCTGACTTATCCTCGATGTTCTCCAAGCATGCGCATTTTGATGTTCCACGCATTAAAAGAAAAAGACAGATACCATGCATGTGTCTCTACCAAGGGTTTGAGTCATTTTAGAGGCAATTCATACTTTGTGTGTCCGCTAAGGTCACATGATATAATTTTGTCATCTTCCTGGATTCGCCAGGGCCCGCGCAAACTCTGTGTAGACCTCTGACTGCGCATTGTACCACAGTGACTGGAAACCGTAGGGGTAAGTGGACAGAGGACAGGCCCTTGATTTGAAGCATGACTAGGAATGCATGCGCGTCTCTCATCTACATGCGCATGAGGGTATGATAGCATGAATTCCCCTTTAGTATCTTTATATTCTTCTAATAATTTATTATTATAAAGATATGGGTAGAGGTAACTCGGTTTTCTGGTGTATGTGCAGTTGGCCCACAGACATTTGGTGTGCACGCAGACATTTGCACAAAGTCTTTTGGCATTTACTTGGGATTGATCAGCTGTGAGGAGGTGAGAATGGAACCAGGGATTCACCTTCTCTCTCACTTCATTCTTGACACAACTGTTTGTGTCAGTTTTTGTGTGAACTAGGAAACGTCCTGTGAATGAAAATGAGCAATGATATCCTCATATTAAATGATATCACCTTCTGGCCCCTTAACCCAGCTTGTTGTTGTATGTATATGTGCGGAAGGGCTTGGTGGGCACACACACATCCTCACAAAAGCCGATGTATGATGATGTATGAATTACAACAGCTTTCATAAGGCCATATTTTATATTATTCCGTAAGTGTTTTTCTTTATTGCTATTCATTGTCTGTTTATAGCATCATGAGGCCATAACAGGAGGAGATAGTTGGTAATAAATACATTAATACACACTTAAATTTGATTAAAACAGCATTATAGTGTAAATATGTACATTTATTCAAAATTTCTACATGTAAAAATAAAACTCAAGATGAGGTCAAATTGTCCGCTTAGATTTTGATGGAGCCCTGTTAACTCAGTAATGGGCTATAAAGTATTGTGTTGTTGATATTTTGCTGTCAATACTTCTATAGACCTACTTCATCTAAAGTAAAAATGCAATACAGTGTTTACATATGGAGGTACCGGTGCCTTTAATACAGATCTGAATATTTCTTCCATCACTTTTACGAATAAAAACTATATTGCGTGCATAATCTGTGTCAGCTGATTGTTATTATAGAGATACACGGTTTCCACCTGATGACAGCTGTACGTACACAGATCTGATAATACAATTATAAACTGAATTAAAATCTACTTCGTGTGCATTGTAACAGCAGCTGTCAAGGGAGAGAAATGAAGTAAAAAGTAAAGTTTGTTCCTCTGCGCAGTACCGCAGTCGGAATACCGTGTTTTATGTGAGTCCCACCTGAGTTGAAGTACAGCAGGTGCAGCAGGTTGCAGCCGTCGATCACCAGCCGCCTCCCCATGAACCGGACGTCCCGGTAGATCTGCGACGTCGCCTCAAGAAAGGTATCTGCCAAATACTGTATTAACATGCGAATTGTCAGTGTGATGATTCGCGACCCCTAACGGGAAGAGCCGAAGGTGACATTCACTGCAATGACATAATCTATGTCAGCTGATTGTTATTATAGAGATACACGGTTTCCACCTGCTGACAGCTGTACGTACACAGATCTGATAATACAATTATAAACTGAATTAAAATCTACTTCGTGTGCATTGTAACAGCAGCTGTCAAGGGAGAGAAATGAAGTAAAAAGTAAAGTTTGTTCCTCTGCGCAGTACCGCAGTCGGAATACCGTGTTTTATGTGAGTCCCACCTGAGTTGAAGTACAGCAGGTGCAGCAGGTTGCAGCCGTCGATCACCAGCCGCCTCCCCATGAACCGGACGTCCCGGTAGATCTGCGGGTACGTGTTCACCAAAGTGGCCAGGCCCTGGACGCCCATGGTCGGTCGGAGTGTGCTGATGAGTCGTCGGCTCCTCCGCTCTTATACCGAGTATCTGTCTCTCCGTTTCCTTAAGTTTCACTTTCCTGACATCAGTTGCAACATTACAGTGATGTGCACATAAGGGCATCAGTCATATGATCCAACAGTATCATAGACAGTGTGACATGGGCCGTGCTGACTCCTGGTACTTTGGATACTTAACTTTTAAGTAACATTTTAAATGCGGAATTTTTACTTGTAACTGAGGATGTGTGGTGTTACTACTTATACTTAAGTACTTCTTCCATCACTGCTGCCGCAGCCTTCAGCCTCTCTACCCCCGAGTCTTGGGAACGAAAACGTTTACCCTTCTACCACCGGGCTGGTAATCCAGCCTTGGTCTTTACACCAAACCAACAATTCCTTCACCAACTTGCTGTGGATTTTTCTCTATGAACAGGATGAGGAGGGAGTTTAAAAACACCTCTGTGTGTGTTATTGCACTTGTTCAGGATCCATGTCAGGAGAAAGTGACAGATCTATCCATGCTTCACCTCCAGAGAATGTATTTCAGATCTAGCTTTAATTCTGACCCAGTGATCTTTAGCAGGCACGGTCGCGCTATCTCGGCTTTAGAATCACTTGCGCGTCTTCATTGGGTTGTATGGTAAAGGCCGATGTGCGATCTGCCATTAATGTCTTACCTTTTCAATAGAGCATGTTAGTGATTAGGTGCTAAAATCTAAACAATAATATCCCATAGGGATACTTTAAGAAATCAAATCAAACTCTTATTAGTAAAGTCCACCAGATTCTTGTTCAGTGGGTCCCCCAGGTACCTCTGTGATGATTATCAAGTTTATGTACTGCAGCATTAATGAATAATTCAATACTAAAATTCATAACAATAGCCTATTACTTTCTATATAGGGTCATTTAAAAAATTCAGTTCAAACTGTTATCAGCAAAGCCCACCATATTCTTGTTCAACAGGTTCCCAGGTTCCTCAGTAGTGATTATCAGTTGGTTTACTGTAGCACATTTTAGTAATTGGTTGTACATTTTTTCACCATCTGTGCTTTTAACTCGATGTTTTTACTGTCCCAGGTTGCATCAAACCCTCCCTGCACCAGCCCTCTGTACTTCTGTAAATCACTTTTTTCCTCTGTTTACATCAACCCACATACTTCATTTAATCTTTTCATTCTCTGCATTTCTTGTCAGTCTGTCATCTGCTTGCTGGGCTCACCCACAACTAGTTTGTCATTTTATGTACTTGTTATATTATCGCTAAGTTTGTCAGTGCATGTCTATGATTTACATGTGATTATCTCAGATTCTCATGCCTGCAAAGTTTTTTTGTTTGTTTGTTTTTTAACCCCAGTTGATCTCAAAGGGGTTACAAAATGCCTGTAACAAAATACCTTATACTGAGCATTAAAGTATAGAACTAAAGATGCAGAAAGTAAATATAAAAACTATAAAAATAAGTTCACGAATCGTATGATAATATGTAAGGAATATCATAAGAAACATAGGATAATAAAGGCAACATTACGGGTATATGGGGTGTGTTAAATGACATTATTAAAAATGGAACAAGAAATTCAAGTTATCCACTGCATTTTATGTACAATGATAAGATCATAAATAATATGAATGATGTGGTAAATGGGTTTTAAGAGGTTTTTTGTAGGTTCTGGGCCTTAATTGGGACAAGGTATAAAAAATCCGAGAGAGCAGATGAGGCTGATGTTTGTAATATACACTGATCAGCCATAACATTATGACCACCTGCCAAAAACTCTTTACATAGGAGTCAATGTGGCAGGTGGTTGCTGGTTGGCACTCGTGTCACTCTGCAGCTCACTGTGCATTTTCTGTGGATCCATTTGCTTCCACAGTTATACTGTTAGGAAGAGCATAGATGTGTCTACAATTCAGTTAATAACTTATGTATAAGTAGTGAAAACTGTGGCTGCGAGGACAAGCGAGGCAGCAAGTTACAGCAGCTGTGTCCTCGTTGTGTTCTTTTCCGTGTTTTTATTAAGTTCTGTTCTTATGTGTCTGTTCTTACGGTGTTATGTTGGTTGTTCTCTATGGTTGCCCTAACACAGAAATTTCCCCAGTGTGGGATCAATAAAGTACCTACTCTAGTCTACTCTACTCTACTATACTCTAAAAGTTTAATCTACAGTAGGTCAACCTCATCATCAGTGAGCCGTGGGTGTCCATGACCCTGTCACCAGTTCCATTTGTCCTTCCTTACACCACTGTTGTAGGTACTAACCAGTGCAGACCAACAACACCCACCAAGACCTGCAGTGTGGGAGATGCTCTGACCCAGTCATCTCACCATCACAGTCTGGCCCTTGTCAAAGTCACTCAGACTTCCTAATCACTGCTTCCAACACATCAACTTCGAGGACTGAATGTTCACTTGCTGCCTAATATACCCCACACACTGACAGGTGCCACTGTAACAGACAGTCAGTGTTATTCACTTCACCGGTCAGTGGTCATAATGTTATGCCTGATCCGTGTACAGCCAAGCTCACATTTTTAAATTAAATATCGCGGCCATTTGAGCAGTGTTTCAGAGTTTACGAGGTGATTTGAATGCATCACGAGGCCCCCATTGGCTGTTCCTTACATTCTTTACTCTGGATATTTGGAATAGACGCACGCGACATATTTTCCAACACACGTTTTCTGTTCTCTGCCCGCTGGTGGGAGTGTGCTCGGGCATCGGGCGGAAATGCCCCCGTGCGCGATACAGAGAGCAGAGGAGAATTGTAAACCATAGTCAGGACGATTCCAGTCCACTGCGTTATATTCCCGAGCAGCCGTTGCCATTCAAGCCTTCCTTTACCCAACGTGACCACGCAAAAGGGTTAGTTACTATAAACTTTTACTTTAAGGTTACTGAAATTACTCTGAGCTAAAACTGTATGTAGCCTAAATTGTCTGTGGCTCCACTCATGTCGTGTCATGCCTGGAAAAGTCTGTTTTCATGTTACAGCCATAAGACAGTTTGTAAGCTGTGCTCGTCCGCTTTGTTCTACAGAGCTACATTCTGTTTTCAACTGACAGACTAAAGATGTCCGACCAGAACAGCACAGCTCCCAGTGTACTGCCCATGCAGAGGGCTGATACGTGAGTAGATGATTTGTGGAGGCTTTTTTAAGACTAGAAATACAATTCAATACAAACAGTCAATTGGAAAACATGATGCATTAGATAAACAAATCCATCCAAGTAAACTTAAGTAAACATAAAGGGGAACAAGAGAAACAGACAGGACCAAGTGGAACAAAACACCAAATGTAAAGTTATACTGACATGAAATTTAAAAATTTGAAGAGGTCAGTAGTTTTGGTTAGTGTTTTTGTTAGAATGTTTTAGGTGTGATAGTATTTGGAAGTAATTGCTCAGATCAGATTGTTTAAAAGATGGTGAAATTAAAGAATTTGAAAGAAAGAAAGAAAGAAAGAATTTGACCAGGATAATGAGCAGGTTAATAATATATTTTCATTTCTAGAGAAATAGGGCTTGTCAAATTTCCTTAACAAAATGTTTTTAAGATCCAAAGAAAAAACAGTGACATGTACACATTGAAAAAAGATGTTCTACAGTTTCTAGCTTCTTGTTGCAAAAGGACCATTTTTTTCTATGTTCAGAATGTATTTACAAATAATGGAGTTTAATGGGTAACATGTAAGTAAAATTTTAAAGGAAAGTTCTTTAACTTTGTTGGACAACACAAATTTGTAGGGCAGAGTAAAAACAGTGGTCACAATGTTGTGTTCTGGGTTACAGCATGGGAAGAGCAGCAACATCCTTATGTGTCAGTGAATTCCCAATGAGGACAAGCTCCATGTCCACTACTTTAAACTTCGAAAGAGAAGAGAAGAAGTCTCCTTCAGCTTTGACGTTGCACTCGCCATCTTCAGCCTATTGTGATGGTTCCAGTGTCTCTATAAGCTAGAGAACCAGAAGGCAAACTCCATGTTATGTTTCCCAGCAGCTCTGCTCTGAACCCTTCACTGCTGGGATACTTAATTTTGTTATACACACTTGCTCCTAATGTCCCGTGGTTCAGATTGAAGATGAAGTGGGGCCATGCTTTTGCCCCCAGGTTATGGAATAGTCTACCCCCTGTAATAGGTCCCAGGTAAAAACATACTTATTTTCCTTGGCTTTTAATCCAAACTCAGAAGCTTGTATGTGCCTGATTTTGGTTAATCTTACGGTTATATGTGTTTTATATGTTTATTTTTTTATCTTATTTGTTTTTATTTGTTATTCTCTGACTGACTGACTGTAAATAAAGATGACTACTATTTTCAAAGGGACTCTGTGTGTATGGGTAGTGTGTGACACCTGCCACGTTGTGTCTACATAACACAGCACTACTGCATCTACACCCTTGTGCAAATTAATTGAAACAAACCCTGAAAACAACAAAAATCTGTTTTTCTCAATTTTCTTTATATGAACAATGTTCTAACACTCACATCAGTACATGATATGACCTCCTGGACTCTTGAGAAGCATTTGGATGCGATTTGGCATCGAATCCACCAATTTTGAACAGTCTAGGATGATTTTGGGGTCCTTGTGCCAAACTTGAATTAGGGCCTGAATCATCATCTCTATGGTTGTGCAGTCCATCCCACGGAGTTGTTGCTTACAAATAGACCACAAATTTTCAATTGGGTTTAGATCGGGAGTGTTTCCAGGCCAGTCCAGTGTGTTAATTTGATTCTCCTCAAAAAAATTCTTCACCTGTTTGGATGTGTGACACAGGGCCAAATCTTGTTGAAAAACACCGGATCCATCAGGAAATAACTTTATCAGTTCTGGAGCAACTTTTCTTTGGAGAAGTTCAATGTATTGTGGTGAACGCATCATGCCTTCAACTGGATGCAAGCTACCAATGCCATAATAGCTGAAGCAACCCCAAAACATCTTTTTTTGTGGGTGTTTTACCCTCTGGTCGATGTGGGCATTGCAGAGCTTTTCAGTTGGTGACCTCCGAACATGCTGACTTCTCTGTCCCTGAACGAAAAAATGGCTTTCATCACTAAAAAGGACTTTTCTCCAGTCTTCTTTAGTCCAGTTCTTGTATTTCAATGCCCATTTATAGCGTTTCACTTTCATAGCTTTGGTCAGGAGTTGCTTTTTCACTGGCCTGTAGGCTTTCCGGCCTACCTCCAAGAGACGCCTGCGAACAGTGGATGAACTTACTTCTATTCCTTTCTCCTTTAAATCAACTTTTAAGGCATCACTTGTTTTTCTAGGGTCTTTCACACTTTCCCGTATCAAGTAAGCATCGTCTCTTGGCGTGGTTTTCCTCTTTCGACCACATTTACCTTTGCGCTTTGGAGAAACAGAGCCTGTTTCCTTCTTCATTTTGATCACACGGCTCACAGTTGCAAGACTGACCCCTACAGCTCCTGCTATCTCCCTGTAGGTCTTTCCTGTGTGTTCATGTAAAGTCAAGATACTTGCACGCTTTCTAGGTGTTGCATCCATCTTGTAGAACTGGATTAGAAATGATAGGCCCTAAAAGCATGGATCACTATTTATATGAACTATAATGCAATCACAGATGATATAGTATAGAGTATGTTTTATATCATCTACTGATTATTGCGTCAGAAAATGATTAAATAACATCTCCTTTAGAAAAGGGAATAAAAAAATGTAAATTTATAACTTTTTCCTGCATAAATTCATGACTATCCATGAAAAGATGAGAAATTGCAGTTTGTTTCAATTAATTTGCACAAGGGTGTACTTTCCAACCATGAGCAAGAGGAGACGTTAGCGTTTACTGTTATTTATTTAGCTTCCATCATTCACGTCTGCTTCAGCAACCATCACATAGTTTTCCTTTTAATTTAACTGCTGACGACCAGCCTTTCCCATTTGCATGGAATAAAGAAAGTGGAAAATTCTTGCACTTTGTTACTGGGATGTTTTAAAGGTGTTGTAGCCTCTAGTAGCCGTGTAGGTGCAGCTAATCTGTGTGGTCGGTGCCATGAGGTTACAAAATTCTAAATCATGTCAGTTGGCCTTAACACCACCTTTGTTATACATTTTTCAAAATAATCCCTCTAGTGTGTGACACTAGAGAGTGATGTCCATCTAGTTCCAAGAGTATCTCATCTATTTCCATTGGTGGAAAGTAAAAATCTAACATCCACATACACGTACTGGAAGCGGTGCAGCCAAGAGAAATACTACGAAATGAAGAGAACAGACTGTTGGGAATAAATTAATACAATTTCATGGAACAAATATTAGAATTTCGGTTGTAAATGTAGGTCAGTGCTTCTAATAGTGTTTAGGCCAGCAGAGAAGGCCTTGCTGGCCCTGACAGCCCACCACTGATATTAAATATATGCTCCACGGTTTGTCGTGCTATGCTAGATAAGTGGATGGTTCGATACATAGCTTGTCCGACAAGCGGGACAAATGACAGCAACGTCCTTTATAATATGCAGCATCACGTGGTTGCCGCGTCTTGCCTCGGATTTGTTGAAATCGACCGGAAGCTGCAGAAGGTTCCTTTTGCACGGAGATCCCGCCTTTACCCGAAGTTTAGCACACGTCTACGTCGGTATGTCTTCTATGTGTGTGCTGCGGACGCGCTGCTTCCTCCGGCAGCTCCTCCCCGGCCTTCCCGCCATCATGAAGAGGCACTACAGCTTGGATGTCTCTGCTCCGCTGCTCCGGACGCAGGGCTACGTGGACGGCCGCTGGGTCTCCGCAGCCTCGCTGTTCCCGGTCCTGGACCCGGCCACCGGGCAGGAGATAGCCCGGGTGTCAGACTGTGGCCCGGCTGAGGCCAAGCAGGCCGTGGAAGCTGCTCACAAGGCGTTTCACACCTGGAGGCAGTGCACAGCTAAGGTAGACTGTTTTATTCTTTAGCCTGCACTTTTGTACGGTCTCTTCAACGGTACTCCGTTCGAAAAACTGTCACCTGAATATAAATGCTGCATAACTGCTAAGAAAGCACAAAACAGCACAACATAGGATGAGTTCTAAACTAATAAACCGGGACTTCAGTTCGGCAAAAACAGAATTCAACAGGTAACACACAGTTCCGAGAAAATCTCAACTTTCACTTCAGTTTCTTTTTGCCCTCTGCCACCCCACGTTTTGGCGGAAGGATGTGTTTGACTACATATGGGGAGGCGACAGTGGTGCAGTGGGTAGAGCAGTTGGTCTCCCAACCAGAAGGTTTAAGGTTTGAATCTCGGTGTGTCCAGTCCACGTGTCGAAGTGTTCTTGGACAAGACACTGAACCCCCCCGATGGTTAGAGCCATCGGTTCTGTACTGGAAACAAACTCCTTGTGTGTAACATACTTGGCCAATAAAGATGATTATCCTGTTATATAAGCTATGAAAAAGTAATCTCTTAACATTTCTGGAAACGTGTTTGCCAGATGTTTAAAATCAAAATCAGCTTTACTGGCCAGGTGTGTTGGACACACGAGGAGTTACGACTTTGTACAGCGGCTCTCAGTGTGTATGTACAGTGATCTTCTGTAAGACAAGGAGTAGACAAGTAAACAAGATAAGATACACATTGAGAGCAGATGTACCACAGTCAAATTCCTCTGTGTCCACACACCTGGCCAATAAAGCAGATTATGATAAGACTAGGAGAACATAAAGGAAAAAGAATGTACAAACAAGAAAAATGAATGTACATTCGGGAAAAAGTCCATATATATTACACACACACACAGTTCAGATGCAGTTTTCAAGATAGATATATACAAAGGTGTATTTATAGGTATTGTACTGAGGGCTGTTGTCCTGTTCTACAGTCATGGGTTAACTGTTCATCAGAGTGACAGCCTGGGGGAAGAAACTGTCCCTGTACCTGGTGTTCTGGTGCACAGTGACCTGTAACGCCGTCCAGAGGGGAGGAGTTCAAACAGTTTGTGTCCAGGGTGTGAGGGGTCTGCAGAAATCATCTCTGCCCTCATTTTGACCCGTGAGGTGTACAGGTCCTCCATGGAGGGCAGGCTGGTACTGATGGTTCTGTCTGCAGTCCTGACTGTCTGCTGGAGTTTGTTCCTGTCCTGATTGGTTGCTGAACCAAACCAGGCAGTGTATCAGCAGCTCCTGAGGCAGGTCGAACTTCCTGAGCTGGAGCAGGAAGTTTGTCCTCTACTGTGTCTTCTTGGTGATGGTGCTGATGTTGGACGTCCACTTCAGGTCCTGGGAGACAGTTTAGCTCTGCCCTGTGTATCTCTCATGGTAACCAATTTAAATAGATGTTGATCTAAAAAGTGGAAAATTTGAATAGAGTTCTGTGTGAAGGGATCCGGATCAGCAGGTGTAATTAACTGCATCTAGAGAAGCGAATTTGAGCAAACTGAGGCTAATCCTGCCAACAGAGCGCTTTAAGACTGTGATGGATTAACAGCAGTTGTGTAGCTGTCAGAGCAGAGTCTGCCTAAATGTTTTTGGGTTCCCGAAACTGTAACCAACAGGAAGTTGGTATATATGAGGTGTGTACTGTTGCACACTCGTGCCATGTTGCTGGTGTTTCCTGCCCAACATTTCTTACATTTGGTCTGAAACTCCCAAATTTACTGAAGGGTATTTTACTACATGCACTGACGCACCAGAGAACAGGACTGCAATTTATCTTTGTACTCAGTATTTGTACATACAATGTCTGTCACATCTTCAGAAATCTGGTTTTATTTGACTGACAGTCCAAAGCCCAAAGATATTTTGCTAATAATCATATAAACCAGAAAAAACCATCAGATTCTCTGAGTGGAGAAACTGGAACCAGAGAATATGTTTCTGAAATGCAGGCAGAATGAGGTAATGGGCTCATCGTCTGTGTTCTGACTCCTGGTGTCCTGCAGGAGAGGAGCCTCCTGCTGAGGAAGTGGTTCGAGCTCCTGACGCTGCACAAAGAAGACCTGGCCAGACTGATCACGTTCGAATGTGTGAGTAGAATGTTCACCCACATCACAAAAACAAGCTCTGGCTTATGTCTGTTAGTATCCAGACATGGAAGTGTGCACAGGCCCCGCACATGTGAATATGAACCACTGAATTGTTGGAACAAGACGTAGCCATTAAACTCAAACTGTTGACCCAACATCTAAAACTGTGCATTCAGACCCTAACATTTGACTTTAGAGCTACACCTAACACATTTATCTGACAGCTTTATTTATGTTTGATCTATAAAGTGTTAGAAATGTTGAAAAATGACTTGGAGGACAAGGTGACCAGCTGTCCTGTCTAAAACCAGGAAATATTGATTTTATAATGGTCAATCAATGACCAGGAAATGTCTGGCTTAGAAAGGCCATAATTAAGTGATTACCAAAATAGTTGTAGATTAACTTGCTGTTGATGGATTCATTCATTATTAAAGAAACTGTTCTAGCTCTGTTGTATTGGTCTCTTGTGCTGGAGAAACAGACCCAGACCTAAATCAAGTTGTGTTAAAATACTTTTGGCCAGGTCTGAGAAGTCGGGCTCGTGGTGTTTACACTGACATTTCACTGTCAGTGATCCAGAGGAAAACATTGCCAGCAGCTCTGGGCATGACTAACAGCAACAGGGACACGGTGTCTTTTTACAGCAGTGTTTTTTCTTGTCTGTGAATAGTAGGAGCATTTCAGTGTACGTGAACTAGTACATGAAATGTTCACTTTCAGTTTTATTTCAGAGGAGTATGAGTGTGCTGTGTAAATGGAGTCAACTCTTAAGTTTCAGTTTCACTGAGGTCGGCTGACAGGGCAGAGACTAAAACAGGGCTCAGACAGATTTACCTCTTCAGATATTCTCTTTTGACTTACATTTTTCTACTGTAGTTACTGTATTTGACTGTTTCTCTGGGCCCCTCCCCCCAAAAATCACTGGATCAGAAATAAACTTAGACCTGAAATAAGTCCTCTTAAACAGGTGACTCATGGAGGATAAATGTTTTCATTCCCAAGACTCGGGAGTAGGACGGGTGAAGGCAGCAGCCAGATAGAAGTACTTAAGTAAAAGTAGTAATACCACAAATACTCTGTTATAAATAAAAGTCCTGCAAAAGTGAAGTATCCAAAGTACCAGTAGTTACTCTGCAGAACGGCCCATGTCCTATTAACATCTCTGATACTACTGGATCCTACTGACTGATACGTTACTGTGTTCATCACTTTAATGCTGCAGCTGGTAAAGGTGGAGCTGATGTTAACTACCTTATATACTTGTACTGTGAAGTACAATGTTTGTCTTTGATATGCAGTGAAGTATGAAGTAGCAGAACATGGAGGTACTGTGAAGTACAATGTTTGTCTCTGATATGTAGTGAAGTATGAAGTAGCAGAACATGGAAATACTCAGGTAAAGAACAGATACCTCCACTACTGTCCTTGAGTGCAGTACAGTGAATGTCCTTTCCACCACCGTCGGTGAGCAAACTGAGTGGATACAGAGTTTATATCCGTTCACACTGACTGTGTGTGTTGCAGGGTAAGCCCATGCGGGAGTCTCTTGGGGAGATCACATACTCGGCATCCTTTCTCGAGTGGTTCTCGGAGGAGGCTCGGCGAGTTTATGGCGACATTGTCCCTTCACCTGTCAAAGACCGAAAGATCCTTCTACTTAAACAGCCCGTGGGCGTCT